TGAGTCACGAAGTCCATGGAGATGCTATCCCACTTCCACTCGGGAATCTCAAGTTGCTGCAACAAACCGCCTGGCCTTTGGTGCTCAGCTTTCACACGTTGACAAGTTAAGCATGACGCCACGAAACGAGCGATATCATTCTTCATTCCTGGCCACCAGAACGACTTCCTGAGTTCTTGATACATCTTAGTCATACCAGGGTGTATGCTAAGACAACTGTGATGTCCTTCTTCAAGAATAATTCTCTTCAGCTCGCCGTCGTTAGGAATGCACGTTCTACCCTTATAGCGTAAGAAGCCGTCCGTTCCAGTGTTGAATTCTTTGGCCTGATCCGTTCCAAGAGCGTTCAAAATCTTCACCAGATCTTCATCCTCAGATTGTTTCTCCCTGTTTCGTTCGAATATATCACTGGATATTTTAAGGTTACAGCACTTAATACTGTTCGGTTCCAATTCGAACTGTAACCTTAGATCTCTAAAACTCTCCACCAAACTTAATTCTCTTACCATCATGGATGAGATGTGCACCACCTTTCTGCTCAAAGCGTCCGCTACTACGTTCGCTTTTCCCGGATGGTAGAGTAACTCAAAATCGTAGTCTTTTAGGAACTCTAGCCAACGCCTCTGCCTCATGTTTAATTCTTTTTGATCAAAGAGGTACTTGAGACTCTTATGATCACTGAAGACTTGGAACGTAGATCCATACAGGTAGTGTCTCCAAATCTTCAGAGCAAAGACGACCGCTGCCAACTCCAGGTCGTGTGTCGGATAGTTTCTCTCGTGAATCTTCAGCTGACGAGAAGCATACGCCACTACCCTTTTCTTTTGCATAAGAACGCAGCCCAAACCTTGATGAGAAGCTTCGCAGTATACCTCGAACGGTTTGGCTGTATTAGGGATAACTAGAACTGGAGCGCTCGTCAACTTTTTCTTCAGTTCTTGAAAACTTGCTTCACACCGATCGGTGCAGGCGAACGGGTGATCCTTGCGCGTTAGCTGCGTCAACGGCTCTACTATCTTAGAAAATCCTTCAATGAAACGCCTATAGTAGCCCGCGAGTCCCACAAAGCTGCGAACCTCAGTAACCGAACGCGGACTCTCCCATTCCAATACCGCTCACACCTTGGTCGGGTCTACCGAGATGCCTTCCGCAGAGACTACATGCCCCAAGAACTGCACGCTCTTCATCCAAAATTCACACTTAGATAACTTGGCGTACAACTCCTTTTCTCTCAATACGCCAAGCACCATCCTCAAATGTTCTTCATGTTCTTCGTGGCTCTTGGAGTAGATGAGGATGTTTTCAATGAACACCACCACAAACTTATCCAGGTATGGCCTGAAGATACGATGCATGTAGTCCATGAATATTGCCGGGGCGTTCGTCACACCGAACGGCATCACTACATATTCATAGTGTCCGTAGCGAGACCGAAATGCCGTCTTCTGGATGTCTTCCTCCTTCACCCGAATCTGGTGGTACCCCGAACGTAAATCAATCTTGGAGAATACGCTCGCACCATGTAGTTGATCCAGCAGATCGTCAATCCGAGGTAACGGATACTTGTTCTTGATGGTCAGCTTGTTTAATTGACGATAGTCAATACAGAGCCGAGAGTTGCCATCCTTCTTGTTTACCAATAGTACAGGCGCTCCCCAGGGTGAGGCACTCAGCCTGATAAACTTCTTATCCATTAACTCTTCAATCTGCTCTTTGAGTTCCACCAACTCTGCTGGCGACATCCGATATGGTGCAATTGAGATTGGTCCTGCTGTTGACACTAAGTCGATTGTAAATTCTACCTCTCGAATAGGAGGCAATCCAGGTACTTCTTCTGGAAAGACATCAAGAAACTCATCTACAACCGATCGTCCTCTACTCAGCTTACTACTGGACGATCGTTCTCCACTGAAGTCTTCATCCAAGTGAGTCATAATCAAAAAGCAACTGGCGCCCTCCATAATATCCTCCTTCAGTTGACCGAGCATCACTGATAACACTTCTTCTTCTTCATCAGGGAAGACCAACTTCTTCTCACCACAATCTATGAGGATGCGATTGGTAGCTAGCCGATCCATTCCTAAGATCACCTCTAACTCCTTTAGAGGTAAGCATATTAAGTTGACCTTATATCCACGCCCCTCGACCTCTATAGGACATCTAATGCATACGGTAGACGTCCTAATCTCACCAGCTGCTGGGGTTGACACCACCAAGTCAAACTGCATTTCTCTCTCTGCTAATCCCATTTTCTCAACGCACGCCTTCGAGATGAAGGAGTGTTTTGCCCCCGAGTCATACAACACATAACAAGACTTTCCATGAACTAATCAGGTACCGGTGATGAGCGTACCTGAGCTTGTGGATTCCGCGCCCGTTATCGCATAAACTCTCCCAACAGCCTGTGCTCGTCCACCCCGACCTTGTGCCCTTCCAGCATTTGGCGGCCTCATTGCCGCTCGACCTCCCATATTGCACTCGCTCTCCAAGTGACCATTTCTTCTGCAGCGATTGCAATACTTCCCTCCAACCAATTGAGGGCATGAAGACTTGTAGTGAGGTCCCCTACACCGAAAACATCTGACCACTCCCTGTTGCCCAGACTGTCCGGTAACAACCATAGCTTGCGATCCACTTGAATTTGATGGTTGTGCTGGACGAGCGTACGTCGTCCTATTCCGATTCAGATTATTCCTTGCCAGATTCAGTCCCCTTGCTGCTTGTTGCTTCTTCTGTTGCTCTGCTTCAGCCACATTCTTCTCCAACACCTTGACCCTCTCAACCAATGCAGGAAATGACTTAATACAAAGACTGGATATCAACACTTTAAGATCGCTTCTCAACCCATTCTCGAATTTCCGACACTGCCACTCTTCATTGGTGGCCATAGTATTGAACCTTAATAAGTGTTTGAAGGCGTTGGTATACTCTGATACATATTTCCCACCTTGTACTAATTGAAGAAACTCCACTTCCTTAGCGTAACGAACGCTGTCTGGGAAATATTCTTCATAGAATTTACTTCTGAAAACTTCCCAAGAGATGGGACTGTGAGCGTCCGTTAGTATAGCCTTCATGCTCGTCCACCAGTGGCTGGCCTCACCAGTCAGCAAATACTCAGTGAAGGCCAAGCGATTTTCGTCCGGGCACCTCTGGGCATCATAAATTCTCTCCATGTCTCTCAACCACTGGTCAGCCTCGTCCGGTAAACCTTTCCCATTAAACTTAGCTGGGTGGTGCTGAAGGAAGCTCTCCAGACTCCACTCGGCCTGGTGAGTAGCGTTTGAAGAGGACTCTCCTGGTGTATTCCGGGTGGCGGCAATGATCTCCATCAATTGCCTCTGTGTAGCTTCAGAGTTGGCGCGAGCGGCCTTCAAACTCTGTAACGCAGCC